TGCACGGGCTGCACGTTCCAGAGGCTCCCTCCCCAGGCTCCCGCCTGACGCAGGCAAGGCTGCGATGCAGGCCACGGGCTGCACGTTCCCGAGGCTCCCTCCCCAGGCTGGCTGCATGGCTTCGGACAGGCTAGCTGTAGCCTGGCCAAAGGCGCTGCGGAGGGTTTGAAGGCGCCTGGACGTCACCTTCGGGCCCCTAAAGAAAAGAGGTGCAGGCCGAGGTGGCAGCTTCCAGAGGCTCGGTTCTAAGGCTGCAGTGCACGGGCTGCACGTTCCAGAGGCTCCCGCCTAATGCAAAGGCTGCGGGGCAGGAGTCGGCCAAACGTGCGCTGGGGGCCTAAGCCAAAGGTGCCGGGAAGGGTGTGCAGGCCGGGGTGACAGGTTCCAGAGGCTCGGGTCTAAGCATTGCAGTGTTTCTCCCTCCGGTGTCCCGGGCGCCTCCCCGCCTAGGCGTCAGCTAGGCAGGGGTCGGCGGATGTATATATATATATATTGTATTTTGTCAGGGTTCCTGGACAGCAAGGCCAACCTTTTTGCCAAGTTCTTGTCTTAGCAGATCCTTGGCCGGAACGAACGCCGGACCGGCGTTCCCCCGCTGAGATAGGCTGAGATCCCTCTCCAGCCTAGCGGGTGGAGATCTACAGATGGCGCATGGCACCAGACAATACAAGATCGTTTGATATCGACGGACCATTCTTGATGAGGATCTACATCTTTGCCACACCCATCCTCACTGGAGTTTCTTGCGTTTTCCCCTCTTGCTTCTTGTTGCTCCCTCCAGCTGTAGAAAGAAGCGAGGAAAGCTTGGGTTGAACCCGGGATTTCCTGGTTAATTACGGCACGACCTTTCTGGGACTGGCATGCCGAGAAACGGCCAGGGGTGGTTGATTTCAGGGGTCCAATGTAGAAACGGGGTTCACTCCGAGAGGTGATGTTCTTGTTCACAGCTTCCGAGGTCTGTTGACACAGTCACCACTTTCAGATACTTTCAGTCTTCATGGAAGGCACGTCCCCGAAACTCAAGTCGACCGGTCATCGAAACTCAAGTCGTCCCAGGATCGCCAACTACATCGACTACGTCGCGGGCTTCCTGGTCTTGGTGAACTCCTTCGCTCTCATGCGACTGAACATCAAGTTGGTCGAGTCGACGATGGGGAAAGAAGAGGGGGAAGGATGGAAAGAAGGAAAAGAACAGACCCAGAGAAGGAAAGAAGGATGGTTCGCGTCTTCTTTTGTTCGTCTCAGCTTGTTTGACATTGGAGAAGGATGGAAAGAAGGATGGAAATCACCACAGCAAAGCTGCCACTGCTGCAAGCAACCAATGTTTTTTGCTTTTGTGTGTGTTTTCAGGGGTTACCCTGAAATCATCCGATTTGGAGTTCTCCGCCTGTTTGGTCTTCGGAAAACTCATGGTCATCCGAACTGGCCATGCTATCCACTTCGACCCTGATTGTTGTCCAAAAGCGCTACTAGGAGCAAGGACGCTATACCAATGGCTCCTGTAGTAGGAACAAGAAGCTACGAACGGGGCTCCTGGCATCGCTCCAAACGGAGCAAGGACCGAAAAAAGCACCTGCGACCGACCGTCATCCCCATCCAGCGACCACCTCCTGGAGCGAAAAAAAACGGGGCTTCGTCAGACGAGCGGCTCACGGCTCATGGCCCTGCATCAATGATGAGCTTTGAACATTTATGATATTTATGGGTATGTAACCCAGACACGACGAATGGGACTGCCATGTCGGACTGCCGAGAAACGGCCAGGGGTGGTTGACTGGGGGTCTGGCTGGGGCGGCAGTCCTATGGCAGTCCCATGGAGTGTCTGGGTAATGCACCCGAATCAGCAAATCCAAGCGTTTGAGGAATGGTATAGCTTCCGCTTGGGACACTTCTTCCTTTCACCACATTACACGACACCAACAACTTGTGCATTTTTTGGATCGAGCACGGCGCAGGGACCTTCCATTCATGTTCCAATCACAACTTGGGGGCCCATATCCAACTTTCCTCTACCCAAGGCCCGTTTCTGGCAGCAACATCTGCGGTTTTGGTTTCATTTGGTTTCAAGGGCCCAGAGTCTATCCCACGTCCTTGTGGTGCGGTTTCTCTCCGATTGTCGCCCTTGAAAACTGAAACAATTGATTCAAGTGGTTCACTGTCCT